CATTTGAACTTCAGTGGGCTGATTAGATTTATACTCTCACAATCCAATCCCTTTACCTCCAAGCATTTGTACATTAACACAGGAAATTTGGGGAGACACCTAATATCCAAACAAGGAAACAGGTGGATGCCTAGCAGAGAGATGAAGCTCATTCTCAAGAAATCTGTTAACAAGAACTAGGGGCTATTAATGTCTGTCACCTGGGAACAAGGAGTGGTTTTTATGAATAAGGCAAGTGACCTTTTTCAGAGGAAATAGGCTGATAGCTAATTATTCTATTTATGTTGAAGGGAAACTCTCATTTTCTTTAAATGTCTCAGTAAGGGAACTTTCAGAGCAGTGTTTTGTTCTCCAGTTTGGCCTAAGACAATGCAGATGGTTTAATTTGAGATTGTGCTTGGCACAGGTAATAATAGAAAGAATATTCTCTGCAGATTAAAGCCCATATTCTTCAGACTTGCTTTTTCAGCAATAAAGGTAATATTTGAATATTTATCTCTTCCATTTATGGGGCACACGAGTGGTACAAAATTGAGGTTTATAAATGACAATTGTTTATCAACTCTAATACTTCCAAACATGATAACACAAATGGTATAGTTTCTAAAGTAGCGTTCAAAGGCAAAGCAGAGCAGTAGAACAGTGGCGCTTGGTCCGAGGTGAGACAAAGCCTCCTTCAACTCCAGGATTGCTAGGGCCAGGCTCCATCCTTATAACCTTCTATAGAGCTGAACATGAAATGTGGGATCAGGGAACCCCTGCTCGAAACAGTAGAGAGAGAGATGGGAAAAGGTTCAAAGGGAGGAAGTATATAAAAGTTTATCATAGTTAAGAGATTACTCTATGCAGATAGAATATTCTTTCCCAGAATTTTTGATGAAATTTGTTTTTGTTGCTTTCTTGCAACCATGCAAAGATCTGGTGTCTTTTTTATAGAGTAATAAATAACAACCCATTTGCTTCTGTTATCATGGCTGTTTTTATACATATTAGGTCACCTGTAAGTTGAGCTTACAGTTATATTTAGGCTCTGTCCAATATGTATGATTTTATATGCACATAACCTTTCTCTATATTTATTTTGCAGAATAATTTTATGGGTCTGTGACTATAGCTCAATGATGCATGTATGACAAATTTAGTGATTTAAGAAAAATGTGGTCTGTGCAATCAAAAGAGAATTTTGACAGGAGATATAAAGATATTGTAGAGTTAGGAGGCAATGTAGCGCACTAAAAAAAGAACTAACTAGGCTCCAGTCCTGTCACTATCACTTGCAAACTGTGGCTATAGGCAAGTCATTTCTCTTTTATAAACCTATTTTTTCTCATTAGCAAAATGACAATAGTAGGTAGTATTACCTTACTCAAAGATGCTCTTGAAAATTAAAGGATTTAATGTTTGTGAAAAAAAAAAAAAAGCAAACAACAACTGGCTTTATACTTAGTTTCTGGATTTCAATATGAATTTTGCTTTTAGCTTAAATTATTTTGGGAATAATTAGCTTTATCCTACCCCCACTATTTTTTTTCCTTGCAGCTAAATGTGAGTCTTCCAAGGAATGAAGTTAGATTCTGTCTTTCATGACATGAGTGTGAGGACAGAGTATTTGCATGCTCTGTTTGATTTGGAATTTTAAAGCTCAATCAGGAATTAAGGTAAGCACAAGGAAGGAGCTATTAAGGAAACTGGAAAGGAACAGCAGACAGTTCTGGAATGTGGCAGCCCCTGTTTAATTTTAAATGTAAGTTAAATATTAATTTTTCTTAAAAAAAAATCTTCTTCCTCCAGGGAGGCGTTTTTCTCTCACTCTCTTATGTTGACAGATTGTTGGTGGATTGCCGTTCACACTGACTTATTTGGAGGAAAAAAAAGTCTTCAGATGATCTTATTTGCGTAAGAAAAAAAAAATCTTCAAAACAACTCCCTTGTCGCCAGCATCAACAGCAGCTGAACACGGGTTGGGTTGTTGCACAGTGAGAATTATCCCTTTCATTTCAAAGGAATCAAAGACATTTGGGGCAAGCAAAAGCCCTGGTTTACGCATGATCAAAATAAACTAATATCAGGTTTGCTTACACTAAGTGTTGATTCAAGCTAATACTGAAGTCCAAGTATACTTTTCATTCTTTCTATGAGGATTATGTAGAAAAGAGAAAAATCTAAAAGTCTAAAAAGCTGAGATGATTTGGAGAAATTAAAAGCATTTGAAGATCTTCTCTTTGTCTGAATTCCTTTCTGCTGATAGTTCCCTAAAACAAGGGGGCAAAATGAAGCTGTTGACTTGTAAACAGAAGTCGAAAGGAAATTCAAGCTTCTGTCAAGACTCATTCCAAATACAATAAACAGGAAAATGATTGGATCCCTTTTAAAGTTTTTGGATGGGCTCTCTTGTGCTTTGGCTGTTCTTTGAATTTGTAAAGAATGGGGAACAAAAGTGAAATTTTAGGTTCCCAGTTCCTATCTATCTTAGCAGAAACTTGAACATTTCATGTTTCCAACAGCACTTTTCTCAAATCATAAACTTCTTTCTTTCATGTACTTTTCTGTCTCTTAAGAAAAAGAAGGAATTCTCAAAAATATTATCACCCAGTTCTCCATGACATTTAACATATATATATTTAATAATAAAGCACTCTTCTCCTGCCGCTGCCTATCTGTAAGTTTCCTCATTTATAAAATGAGGGGATTGGACAAGGCTTGCCGTGCCACATTCTGTTCTGTACTGGGTTCTTCAAGTGTCCAAATTTGAAACTATGGACACTGAAGCCTGTAATTCTTTTTTTCGGGGAGGCTGTTCTGCATTATGGGACAGTCAACACCATCCTTTCCTTGTACCCCACCAGACACCAATAGTATGAATGTTACTTCCCCCACACCCTAATCGACAATCACAGATATCTCCAGACATTTTTACATCTCTAGGTGGGCAAAATAACTCACAGTTGAGAACTACTGCTTCAAGTCACTAAAGCAGTGGTTCGTAAACTCTGGTAAATATCAGAATCTCCTGAGAACTTGGAAAAAACATAAAGACCTAGACTTGATTCTACTTCAAAATGCCAGGGCCTGAGAGATGACACAAAGCCCTGTCTACTCTCATATCTCTGACTCATGAATACTCCGTGGATCCTAGAACTCCAGTTCTTAGACTTACTCCTTGGAATGAGGCATTTTCTCTAAACCAATGGTTTTCAACCTTGGCTTCACACCAGCGTCATTTGGGAACTTCTAAAAAATCCCTAGTTTTGAGTCATATCCCAAACCAATTAAAGCAGAATATCTCAGAGCAGGAACCAGGAATTAATACTTTAAGTACCTTGGATCTTTGTAATGTTCAGGAAAAATTGGCATACTAATTAAAGGCTTTCCCTAAAATCAAACAGGAGTTTTGCAGAAGGAAATAAAATGATGGTAGGATATGCAAAAAGGCTTGACCATTCAGCGTCACTTTGGAAACCAGCAGGATATTTGTGTGGCTGAGGCATCACAGGCTTTTGACTCTATGCGGATAGATGATATAGAAATGTTTCTTAATGTAGAGATAAAATATAGCAAGGCATTTGGGTACTCTGCCCACAGTCCCACAGTAGTACTTTCTATTCTAATGTGTTTTCAAAACTTTCCACAAGTAGATTGATAACTCTAGACTGCAGTTATCTGAAAACAGAAAGGATCCCTAGAGAAAAAGTCTGGGCAGATGATGCAATTCTGGAACCCTGAATATCCAAGGAATTTAGTATACCTTCAGCTCCAAACTGGAGCTTGTCCATCAGTAGGATGAGACAAATTAGTGAGGTTTGGTAGAAAAAAATATAATATGAACATAATTCTTTAAAGTTGCATAGGTGGGGCTATTCATTGCCAAAGTTGTCAAACCCAACAAAATGAATGAAGGGATGAACAAGAAACTCTGGCAACCTTCTCAGTGGTCACACAGACATTTTCAGGGAAATTGAGATCAACTGAATGTTATATGTGGTCTTTTCCCATTGCCCTTCTTCCACTCATCATCCAAATGGCAAGAGACTTTGGTGAAATTCCACAGGCATTAAGAGACAAAAGGAATGCCCCCAGGAAGCAGGCTGGAATCCAGGGCCCAGCACATAAGCTTGCAGAGAGTGTGCAGCCAAGGGACAGGAAAGAGGGCACACCTCCTCTAAATGGGTATTTATGATAGAGGAGAAGCCAAGGAACAGAAACACCTCCAGCTAGTTTCTTGGAGTCTGGCAGCTATTTCTGTCAGCTTTCCCATTCCTAGTTTGATATTCATTGCTTAAGTTCTGGAGGTACTAGATTTATTAAAATGACTCTTTGTTCAATTCGTACAATATCTGATTATCATTTGACATGTGGACGTTTGTCAATTTTAAGAGATGAGGAAACTGAGGCTCAGTAACTTAAGGTTACACAGCTGGGAAACTGACAGAGGCTGAGGATTCAGTACAGTTTCTTCTTTCCAGCCATTCTCATTCTCGGTCCTGGAATGCAGACACAGAAGTATTGTGTTTATTGTTCTTTATTGCCCCAGTCCACAAACTCACACATCCATACAAAATGGGATGAGAAGGCAAAGAACAGATCTCCCCACCCCACCCGCCAAGGTCGATCCCAAGCTTTGATCCCAAAAGTCCAAAGGTTCCTTTGCCACACATCAGCTGCATAAACTTTGGCAAGTCACTTTTCTTTTCAAACAGAAGGACCCTGCAGACTGTAAGATCATGAACACATTCCAGAAAATGACTAAGACCCGAACCTCACTAAAACATTTTTTTTTTTAACTATAGAAAAAAGAATAATAATACCGGCTTCTGCAACCTAGAGAACCCACGTGTAAAGCTCCTCCCCCGGGTTTGGCCACAAGCGGCGCTAGCCCTCTGCCTGGCACTTGTGTGCGGCCCCAGTCTGGCAACCCTGCGGCTGCGGCTGGAAAGCCTGGGAGCGCGGCTTTCGGAGGCTCGGGCAGCAGGAGGAGCGTGTGAGCTGTGGGCGTCCCTTTAAGAGCGGCGGGACGGGCAGAGCCTCCGCCTCTCTGTCCGAGGAGCGCCGGGCGGTCACCTGGGGCTGTCGGGCAGCCAGATCTGGCTGCGGTACTGGCGCGCTTGCCTGCGGAGTTGGGAGACGGACCCCATCGCGAGGTGCCGCGGAGCCGCCTCGCAGCGGCTCTCTGCTGCGGAAGATGCAGGAGCGCATCTGGGCGTCGCTGCTGCTGCTGCTGCTGCTGCTGCTGCTGCTGCTGCTACCGCCGCCGCTGTGTGGCGGCCCCCCGGACAGCCGGCGCCAGGAACTAGAGCCTGAGCGCGGGCCTCTGCAGCCCTTCGACCTGCTCTACGCCAGCGGCGTGGCTGCCTATTACAACGGGGACTACGAGCAAGCTGTGCGCGACTTGGAATCAGCGCTGCTCAGCCACCGGCGCCTGCGGGAAATCCGCACACGCTGTGCCCGCCACTGCGCTGTGCGCCGCCCTCTCGTGCCCCCCGGTGCCGGCCCCGGGGCCGAGCTGCCCTTCTTTCGCGCCTTGCTGGAGCGGGCGCGCTGCTACCGCAGCTGTGAGAGCCAGCGCCTCGGGGGACCCGTGTCCCGACACCGAGTCAGTGAGGATGTGCGCAGCGACTTTCAGCGCAGAGTGCCCTACAACTACCTGCAGCGGGCCTACATCAAGGTACCCTGGCGCTGGCGTTTCCACACCTAATGCCCCCTGTGGCTCTCAGATGTGCTCTTGAGTCCTCGGGTTATCTTGGTATTGCACTGCTTTGCAATCTTTCAGAGTGGATTTCTTAAGTATCTGTCTCATGTTTATGAATCTTGACATCTATTAGCCCAAACTTTGTAACCAATACTAGATGAACTTGGGCAAGTCTTTCTCTGTCTCTTCTTCTCTCTAAACATTAACTTTACTCTCAAAAACAGGGCCGTACTGATTGGATAATATTTAAAGCACTCATTTAATACAGCTGGGTCTATAATAAGCTTTCTTCTCAATAATTCTTGGTATATACCCATTCCCATCTCTGTCTCCTCTCCCTCACCAGCACTATACTCGAGTCTGCATCTTTTCTGGTAAGTTTAACAGAATGTGTTTTCAAGATAGCAGAGTTAAAAGTAAATGTGTTCCTAAACAAATGATTTTTTTTTCTCTCTCTCTCTTATAAAAAAAGTAAAGTTCCAGGTTACAGAGAACAAATGATAGGGGGAGGTGGAGCTCTGAGGGACTATCTCATTAAAATTATCCACAAGTCCTTATTTTTTTTTTCCCTCCTTTGATGGAAGTCTTCCAGTTCCTGAAGTTTTACATTGGACTGGATTACTCAACATCAGATGCCCAGGGCTCTTATCTTTGTGTACTTAACATCCATGAAGTTAGTGTCCGAAGGAATACACTGTAAATTGGTTTTATTTCCGACATCCACAATTTTGAAGATCTGGATGCTTCAGCAGAGAGAATTTAGAATGAATTCCTCACACCTGCCCACTCACCCATGTTACTCCAAATTTACACACTTTCTCCTCACTCCTGACATTCTGTTTCAGTATAGCAATGTTTCTTCCCAGCTGTTGGACGAGGGGCAGCTCAGGGAGTTGATTGGTAGTGCTACAGATGGACCAGGCTACATTTCTAAGGAGAAGAAAATATACATCATGTTCCAACATTGACATGCCTTTAGCATTGACATGCCTCTGAAGCTTATCCCACAGGTCTATGCTGTCACTGGCCATAGGCTCTCAGGTTTACAACTGTCAGAGGAGTTTTGAAGTCTCAACTGAGACTTTAAACTCTCAGTGTGTTGTTTGTAGCTTAGGTCCTGGGGCTCACTAGATTAGTGCCTTGGACAGGAAAGGAGAAGAAAGCCCAAATGCTTTCCAAGACTTGTCTCTTACTTGCTTGTGCCTCCTATTAGATTTGCTAAGACATATATAAAGTATAACCCTCCTTTCTTTTAAGTGAGTGGCAGTTTGGAATGGTCTTCCAAAAATCAGTCAATTCTGGATAGAGAGGGCATCTGGAGTACCTGACAGCAAAGAGATCCCCCCAGCAGAATGTGGGTTCTGTAGCATGGTCTTCCGGGGAGTCTCAGAAGTGAGAGGTTGGCCATCTTGCTGATGATTTGTTCACACGTATTGGACAAATTTTCCTTTCTCAGGTCTGGGGAAGGAATGCATATTCATGTTTGGGCATATAAAAATAACCATGAGGTAAATGTCAATATGTGGGTTTCTTTGGTTCTATAATTATGTTTGCTACACTATGAATGTTAACATTTGTCAGCCAATCCCGAGCTCCTGTACCCTGGTTGGAGGTCAAAGAAGGTGAAGACATAGATTTAACAGGACTCAAACATTTGCAATTAATAGTTTATAAGATCAAGGCACACATGGACCCTGTTGTGGTTGTAGTAATGGGTATTGTTTGATGAACCAATGATGTTGAAGAAATCCTTTCATAAATATTTGGCATCATCTGTTCATTTGTGCTCTACTAGTAATATTTCTAGGGGCAGAAGCAGGCTTCCATTTCACCTCCACTCTGATGGGCAAAGTCTCTTGGTTGCATATAATTGATAATCTCTTAAGAAGGAAATATTTTTATCCATTTGGAAATTTGTTTTGTATGGCTGGAGTTCGTTGACATCTAAAAGATGCTTCATCATAGTTCTTTCCTCAACCGCATCCTCTAAAAATTCTACAATTTTAGTTTTTGCTTGCTGTCCAGGGGACTTTACATAAAAACAATACATATCAGCATTTGAGACTAAAACAAACCTCATAAATGTAAAAGAACATTCTCGGGCTTTGACATTTCTGGATTCTGGGGTGTTCACTCACTGATAGGATGAGTTCCTTACAGGTACTTGGATCTGATCATGGTGCCTTGTATTGTTGTGTTACTTTTGCCATCAGTGGTCTGGTTTGTAGTTAAAAGTAAAATCCTAGGCCAAATTTAATTCAGTGAGGATTGGAAGTCTTCATAGAGCTAAAAAATACAGTTATTTTTAGCTAGGAAGTTTACAAACTGCAGAAGGTCTTAGGAGTTATTGCTTCTCCCCAAAATCATGGTTACTGAGCCACCAATGGAAACAGATTCTTTATGCTGGTATGTTGGAAATGGAGGATTGAAAATTGTGATATTGAGACTCATGAGTGAGATTTCTTTTTGCACAGAAAGTAATTCCCGGAAAAGGAAAGGAGCTTACTCAGTATCATGTCTGTGGTAGCAGAGCAGTCTGAGTTGATGCAATGAGCATGGGCCTGGGAGTTAGGAACGCAGGCTCTGTCAATAGATACTGGATCCAGTGCTTGCCCTGCTATGCCCTCAGCCGGTGGGATTGCCTCAGGTTCCAAAGGATGCTGCATTCCCCAGGGCTCTCCTTATGCCAGATTTGGACAGCTCCAGGGATGAGTAGAGTAAATCCTTGTCCTGTCTGATTACAGACAACACTTTTCTCTGAAGGCCTGCTCCATAGACTCTTCCTTGAGGCCTGGCATGTTGGGAATTTGCCTGAACAGTTATGAGGCAGCAGTTCTGCCTGGCTCCTAGCCTCACCCTTTTGGTGTGTGTGTTAAGGCAGGATGAAACTCTTCAAACTTGATTTTATCATTTCAGATTATAAGATATAATTCATGCTCCACAGTCTAAAACCTAAGGAATAGCTTTTATTGTAGTTTCTGCTGAGAAACGTTCAGTAATTTTCCCTTACTACTAAACAACGCCCACATAGTTTAATTCAGCTTCAGTTCCACTCAAATTCCCCAGTTCTATCTCCCCCAACTCTGCTACCTTCCAGCCAAAGGGAACAGCATCTGACTTTCTTGCATCTTTTGTCCTTGTTATTCTTCTTGGGAAGCCTACAGGCTCTGGATTAGGATAGATAAGAGACTAAACTAAGGTCTACCTTCTCCAATCTAGCTGCATGACTGTGAATACAGTACATAAGCTTTTTGAGCTTTAGTCTTCTTATCTGCAAAATGGGGAAATAATAGGACTCCTTGCGTGGTTTAGGTTAAGTTTAACAGATGACTGATGTCAAGTGCCAAAAACAGGGCCTGTTCCCAGCAAACATTAGATATGTGTTTATTCTTATTACTAGTTACAGTGGTAGCTTTTCCTCTTCCTTCTTTACATGTTCAAATCATAACTATCCTAACATAAACATACCTATCTCTATGAGGCATTCCTGATTCCCTTTGCAATTCCCAGAAGTTCATCGTATTTCCCTTTTCTGAATATGTATAGCAGGAAATTTGTTCCTCTTCTCTCATTTTTTCTTTCAATTTTAACATTACTTTGGGAAAATTGGTATATCTGTCCTCAGTTATGTGAGCTCCTTGAAATCAAGAATGACTTTAGTTATTTTTGCATTTCTAAAGTAGGGACTCCCAGATCTGGGTGATTATTAGATGGAACTATTATTTGTAATATCTGGGGCATTAAATATGATTTAAAATTAGTGCTTTATTAGGGTCAGTAGGTCTCAGTTGGGTCATCAACAACCATATTCCTTCCAAATATCTCAGCTGGGATCGTAGGTGTAAATACTCAATATTGTGTGTTGAATGAATCATAGCTTGGTTTTATTTTCATGAAATAGTGTTAAAATTTCTGTGTGGTGGCAGAAAGTTTTTATTACATCAATTGTGTGGATTCCTGGCTGGTTAATTGGGAGAGAAAGTTACAGGAGTGTGGACTGTGGACATCTCACTGTTTCCTTCTTGCAAGTTCTGGCTAATGTGGCAGTCTCCTGCCTATCCTCTCCAGTTTTTCTTGTATTTTAGTTCATATTATTTAAAATTGTGCTTCAGAAAATACTTGGCACATTTTACTTATTTTATGTACATTTGTGGAATATAAACAGATGTAAGAGAGAGATTTTCTTTTCTTATCTGTGTCCTTGATAATTATAAATTGTTTGAAAGTGTCTGCTCTTTTCTCCCCCTGTTGCTAGCCTTTTAAGAAAAACAATCCAACTGGTGGTGTTTTTTCCTTTTTTTTTTTTTTTAAACCTAAAGTTAGCTTTTTCCTGCATGTTTTGTTGCTTGTATTAGTGTTTGTGCCATTTGGCTTTTGTTATTCTTCTTGGGACTAAAAGGAGGGAAAAAAAGGAAATGGAATTTAGTCAATTCTCTCTCCCTCCCAGAATCATCTTCCCCAAATCTCTTTATCTTGGCCATTATCAATTTTATTAGTGGTTGGTAGAAAAAGAAAAAGGTAAACTCAGATTATTTGCTCACTCTAATTCTGCTTACTGACAGCTTTCGCCTTTCTAGAAGGAATGCCTTAAAAGAGAAATTGAAAACTCAGACAACTGTCTCATACAGATCCTATGTTGCTCTGGAACCCCTAATTGAACTATTTTTACCCGTTTGTTGAATTATTTCAAATTAGAAGTTGATTTTGTCTTCCTGAAATAGCTGTTCTGAAATTATTCTAATGGATATTTCCTCAGGAGATGAGACTTTTTTCTCTCACACATAATTGAATCATCTTTGTGCTTGAATCATCAAAATGTACTAGTCACCTTATTATGTCCCACTCCTTGGGAAGGAAACCTGGGAGATGCTTTGTCTTGCCAGTTCCTGGGTCCAGTGTGCCGGAATCACAGTTGTTTCCTCATTGGGATTGTCCATCTGCGGGCTGGTCATCTCTTTATCACTCATCCAGTTTCT